ACAAATCTGTGCATCTATTAAAAATGTGTGAATGGACTGTAACTGAACTGACTCCCTTTTACCATAAAGTGGCTACACCACGGAGCCCTAAAAGTGGGATTCACACACTTACAAACCCCACTTTGGGCAGATTATATAGGACACAACAAAACATATACTCTACCCCAACCCCAGACATTTCCTCTATACATGATATGCTTCACATGGCTAATATACCCAAACTTACACCTTCTCACAAGGAGTCTTTCAAGCCCCCAGCAGAACTAGGAGAAATAGCTAAAGCTGGCCATACACTTTACGATTATCGTTCGATTTCTTCTGTGCCCTCATCGAACCGTCATTCAATTTCTGCTCGAATACCCCATCATGCACAGACCAATGTCGATTTCGATTATCGTTCGTTAACAATACTAACTGGCCAAATTTTGTCGATCGACAGAACGGATTTTCGTCTGCACATGTGCAGTGTTCATGTTCTGTACTGAAACGCCACTAATCCATCGATTTTCGTTTGAAAACATGTTCATGTTCGATTTCCGAACAATAATCGCAAGGTGTATGGGCACCTTCAGGCTGTAAAACCATCGCCCAATCCTGAAACACCTGGTCCTGATGCTCTATATCTGAATTTGATAAACCTTTAGAACCCTATGTGACCGTATTCGTAAGGCAACTATTCCACATGATCCTAACAAACTTAATTTCTTACTTTTACTGAAACCCACACAACACTAATACTCAAACCCTAAAAGAATCAATGCCTACCTTCTATCACCCAATTATCTTCTTAATGTGGGCTACAAACTTCTAGCAAAAATAATGTCCAGCCAGCTACAGTTCTTGGCAGTACTCTACATTACACCAGCTTGTCTTAGTCAGAAACCAACATATTTCAGCTGGGATACCAATGGCTATGGCGTCCACTACACTCCCCCCCCCCCCCCCCCCCCCCCAATAGGAAATCACTTGGTTATGAGTCTTGAAAAGTTTTTAAACGAAATGTTATGGCCTTATATGCACAAATTCAAATACACATTCAATCTCTTTATACTTCACCTTCCACGCCCCTTATAACAAACGACCAACCAACTCTAAAAGTTACAGATATATAGGGGTACCAGTCCGTCTACTCCTTCTCACCACAGCCTCAGCGGAAAGAATACAACTTCCAAGAGAGTAGCCACACTTAGGCCTTGTTCACACGGGCTGCAGCCTCCGGTGCCCTCTGAAAAGCAACCCATGGTGGAGCAGCGGCTGCCCAGCATTCAGGAGGCAATACTGCTGCCTCCTGTATGCAGGTCTTTTTTTTTTTTGATCCCAATGGTGATTTTCTTTTGCAATACCACGCCACAACTGCATATTCACGTGGTTATGGTTTGTCCCATTCATTGCAATTGTGGTGTTTTGCAAAATGCACTGCCTGTCAAGTGCAACATGCTATATATTTTTTGCTGCACTGCAAAGCATTGCGGCCAAAGCAATGTATACAGCACTGTTCCGCCGCATGCTACTATTGCAGTGGGTAGATGTAAAACCTCACATCAACCATGTCGTTTTACTGCCCCCTTGCAGTCCATATGAATGAGACCTTACAGTGAAGCTGGATAGGCTCGGTTATACTACACCAGAGCTAGTATGTAACCCGGGCATCAGAAGTCAGAGAGTAGCAGTAAGGATACTTACAAGGCATTTTCCATGACTGATTACTAGGGATGCACCGATATTAGTATCAGTATCGGTGCCGATGTCGAGTATTTGGGTGAGTACTCGTACTCGCCCAAATGCTCCAGTGCCTAACCCAATACCCGATACTTCCGGTATCAGAAAGCTAGGTAGCGCGTCATTACACCTCACGACGAGGGAGCATGGAGCTGGCTTCCCGGCCAAACAGGAAGCCAGGCGCTGTGTCAGTACACAGCGCCCAGCTTCCTGATTGGCCAGAAAGCCGCCTCCATGCTTTCTCGTCACCTAGTGTCGAGAAGCTTGGGGACGGCTTTTCTGCTAATCAGGAAGCCGGGTGGCAAGTCTTTACACGCTGCCCGGCTAATCAGGAAGGCAGGTGGCAAGTCATTACACGCTGCCTGGCTGCCTGGACTTACGGGTACTCAGTATTCGTAATCGGCGAGTCCCGGAAAAAAAAATATCGGTACTCGTACTCGATACCAAAATACCGGTATCTGTGCATCCCTACTGATTATCATAATGTTTTAGTGAAGAAACAGTTTACATGTGTACTCCATGCAAGCACCTAAATGCACAGATGAAATACATACAGGGGAGCTGTATTTGCATTTCCATCTATTAATTCCTTTGAATTACACAGGACGGTCAGGAGGATTAAACAGCTTTATCTGTTATAGTTTAGGGAAGCATTGGTGTCCCAACACCCAGCCTGCTGATTGCACAGTGAAGGAGCAGCCGATGATTGATGAGGTCACCCCATTCTCTCCTTCTGTTAGCTTACGCCTTCTCAGCACAACTGCATGCAGAACTCTAGATTGTCTCCTGGTACTTCCCCTCCCTCACTCAGTCTGCTATACAGAGAAATGCAATTGGCTGAGACCAAGCCAAATTTTGGTACCTATAAAACTAATTTTAACGATTTCTTAAGGTATGTGTAAACCCAATCGCTAAATTAGGATTTAATATGTAATTTACATTTCAGAAGTCATCTTCAGTATTTTTAAATCAGCAGCTTTCATTAAAATAATACCTGGTGATCCTGCCATGATGGTACTTGTTCAGGTACTTCCTGTAATAGGGTGACAATTGCACTCCTGACCGGTGAAAAACCCAGAAAATTTGGGTGGGTGCTAAAATGACAACGGGTGCCTCCACAAAATGAATCCAGGTAAAGAAAAGTCACTAGCACTCCAGCGTAAATACAGGTCAATATTTTTTGACTACTAAGTGTCACATTATCACAGGGGACGTTTCGGAACCGCATGGTTCCTTCCTCAGGCAATAATCTCTGTTTTGCCTGAGGAAGGAACCATGCGGTTCCAAAACATCGCCTGTGAGGATGTGACACTTAATAGTCAATTAATATTGACTTGTATTTATGCTGGAGTGCTAGTGACTTTTCTTTACCTGAACACTTTGACCCTGTCTCCCAATTGTGGTCTACAGTGTCACTGTGTCACACAGACTTCTAATGGAGACTGTGTGGCTGTTTTAACACACTTTACATGTGGATGGTCCACTGTTGTCACTGTTAGCAAACCTATACTTAGAAATGCTAGGCAGCCATCGGAGGAGTGCATGTAGACAGGAAGTGGCTGCAAGGGATCAGCAGTGTGACGATAATGGGGGATTTGAGTCTGAATATTAAAAAATATAATTTGTTTGTTTCCCCCCGTCAGAGCAAATGTAGTCTTCAATTAGTCATTTGGCAGGTCCCTCTACATTCTCCAGAATAGAGATCTGCTTATCTGGCTGTGATCTTTTATTGCCCAGCCCTAGTGAAATTCCAAAATATCTCTTTAAGCCTTTTATGGCGTTAATTAAAGGCATGGCACCCAGCATTCATCTATTACAAATGGACAAGTTATATAAACAAGCAGGTCTGGAAGAGGTGGTGACCCAGCATTCACACGAAAGTCATAAAACCTATGTATAAAATCAAGCTACATTTAATAATTTGGAATTGTGCGGGGATAGAGTAAAATGGGCTTATAAAATATTCTGTCAAGGCGACTAGAGTTGGCTCTGGTTTTTTAAAACATCATCGAGGAACTAGAAGACTTAACATCGCAGAAGAGTTCCCCTTTTATCTTTGGAATTATCTGCTGGAAGCGTGCTTGAAGAAGAGCCATGCAGTCTTCCCTTTTTGCATATTGAACTCTGAACTCTGTCAGAACTCACAATTCCAGGACTGTTGAGTATTCTTCTTTTATTCCCTTGTATTTTGTTGCTGTATATATATTTTGTCTCTTTTTCTTAAATATTTTTCTGTATATTTTCTGCACCGTTTCTTTTATTAAAGGACAATCTTAAAAATCGTTAAGCTTATCTCTACGCTCTAGATACGAACTTAAAGTATCCTTGCTCTCTGAAGAGCGCTACTGTCTAGTGAATCCTGTCATATCCTTGTCTGGGAGGGCAGCGGTATCACAGGCATTGTTTAGGTGTTTAAATTGTCACAGCATTTGCTGGGCACGGTTTGTGTTTTCCGAAAAAAACACATGGTGGCAGTGGAAGTTTGGTGGGTAAAGGGTTAACTGTGGAGTTAACCAACCTGGTGACGATTGTGAGATTGTGTCCTGCGAGCTGGGAAATCTCTGCGTAGGGTGAGGCTGAGAGTGGTATCGCCACGTCCTTGTGACGCTCACGCTCGGTTCAGACTTGTGTGTGGTCACGTTGGATTGACGTATAGCGGGTCTGGGCCGGGCGTACGTCACAAGCAGCACTGAGATTCAACAAAGAATGAAAATAGGTGAAAACAATTATTTTATTTTTTTAAAAAGGGCAATTGTTGATTATACACATTGCTCTTACACTTTGTCATTCAGTTAAGATTCACAGTACAGTACATCTACCCTGTACTGATTACACAGCTGTATAATATATATGTCTGGAGTTCAGCTTCAAACTTAGCTGTAGCACCTCGTTATGTTAACATCTGTTTCATACTTTTTCTGACGACCAATCTGGTTTTTATTTTTTATTGCTATTTTTATTGCTGATGTTCCTATTTTTACCTTGTTTGAGTGGATGGATGTATGAAGGCCTCCGTGTAAAAACAATATTTTATTTGATACTACAGTGCAGAGCCTGGCTGGGTTTCCAGGTGCCATTAGTCCTGCTCTCAAAACGAGGCTATACTGTACTATACAAAGTAATTTATATAAATTACAGGGATGGAGCGCCGCTGTAAATCTTCAGCTTGATTCTCCCATTACTGAGCTGGAGCTTATTACTGCAAGGTCACATTTACTTGTTAAAAGTGAAAAATATTGTGTTTAGCCAGACCATTTAAATTTATGTTTGCAATTTTGCAGGCAGCGGCTCGACTGAAGAGTTCTTTCGTCTCATGCATCGTCAGTTCACTGAGAGAGAATGGCACTCCATCAAGAGCATGGCCGGCGACTGGGCTCAGCTAGACATGTTCTACAGACACTGGGTAAATCACAGGCTCCGGACCAGCTAGGAAGTAACAGCTGGGCTCCATAGACGTATCGTGTCACCACATAGCCCGTGCTGTGTAGTATACTGGAACAATAAATAGAGAAAAGGTTTTTTAGATATTCCGGCATACATTTTTCCATGAAACTGGTCTTTTATATTTATGTAACACCAATCGGGCGTGATGCATGCAAATATACTGACAAGAAGCATTCTGACAGAAGTAGACAGCAGAGGGATGAAGTTCTTAGCCTGTTGCTGTTCCTTAAGGCCCCATTCACACTAAACGTCATACCTTTAGAAGCGGATTCACGCGGCATGATAGCGCGACTGTTCGGGGCGACATTCCAGCGACGATCCAGCGACGGTAGCACGAACTTCACCGGCCGGCTGCATTAAAGAAATAAAAAAATCGCGCCACATCCACCGAAAAAAGGGTCCTGCAGGCATGACTTGCGACCGGCGACATGAAGCTGTACATTAAGACAGCTCCATTGAAAATCATTGGCCGGCGACTTCTCGCGATATATCGCGCAGCAAAAATGTGCGATATCGCGGTGGAAATCGCGCGGCAATCCGCACTGTTTGAATGGGGCCTTACTGTGTAATATCAGGCTAGGGGCAGGGAGGTGACCTAGCTGGACTGCAGAAGTAAAAAGGTGGGTCTCTAGCCTGGCTGTGCTGTATACCAGGGCTGTGTAAATTTCAGGACTTGCTGAACAGAGATACGAATCCTTTGTATGGCAAAACTAAGGAATTCACAAATACCAGTCTTTTGGTATCGACTACGAGTAACAATATTTTTTTTTCGATACTTACCGTTACCAGGAGTTCCATTGAGAAAGCCGGGCAGCATGTAATAACTTGCCCCCCGGTTTCCCGGTTAGCAGGGAAGCCGTCCCCATGCTCCCTCATCACCAGGAAGCATTGAGCCAGCTTTCTGGCCAATCAGAAAGCCGGGGGGCGGGTAATGACTCGCTGCCTGGTTTTCTGATTGACGGGCTTCGCAACCAATCAGAAAGCCAGGCGGCAAGTCATTTCATGGCGCCGGCTTCCTGATTGGCAGGGAAGCCAGCTCCATGCTCACTGGAGACGAGGGAACATGGCACCAGCTTCCGAGCCAATCTGGAAGCCAGGCAGCGTGTAATGACTCGCTGCCTGGCTTCCTGATACCAGAAGTTCCGTTGCCGCATTTGGGCAAGTACGAGTACCCAAATACTCGGTATCGGCACCGATACTAGTATCGGTATGGGTGCATCCCTAGGTAAAACAGCTCCCATATATGAATTTCAAAAGTGTATTTTACTGTTTGCCTGGAATTCAGCGTTAGATTCATGGACCTCTAGACACGTTACTGCATTTTCTTCATAGTAATCCCATCTGCAGACTGTTTCAGTAGTGCTTAAGCATGCTTTTCACATTTTCCTTAATCATCTGGCACCATCCTGCTAAGCAGTGTAATGTTTCAGAAACAAACATATGTTTCTTGCTGTGGAGAGAACAGAGGTTTACCGCAGCACTGACACAAACCACATAATGCTCCTGTGTGTTTTTATTTTGCTGACAAGTCTTTATACATTTTTTATTTCAAGGCGTTGAACGTTCATAAGGATGACTGAGCAGAGATGTTCAGATTTTGTGAAAAGAGCGCAGTAAATAATGAATGGTATTTTGTTACAATAAATTCTGAATCTTGGCAGACCCTGTGTTTCTGCTTTTAGGCTCTAAAAGAAAGCTTTATAAAAGCCATAGGGGTCGGCCTAGGCTTTAGTCTGCAGCGCATCGAATTTGAAGTCTCACCTATAACTATGGAGGTCGGAAAGGTTTACACAGAGACCAGAATGTGGCTGGACGAGGAACCTGAAAACTGTTTTTTTGAGGTAAGAACGCATGAGGTAACATTTCCATATTGACTGTAAAAACGAGGAAAACACAACCTTCGGTCATAAATTTGTACAATGCCGTTTTCCTGTTCATGCTAAATTTTAGTATGTTTAGGAACTGCAAAGCTGCAGCATCTCCGGGCAAACAAAAAAAAAAGGTACCCTTGCAGTGCTCATTTTTATCTAGGGGATTGGCGTGAAGCAGATTTACTTACCTGATTCCCATTCCCACTAGCTCCCTTGGGGTTGCTAGACCCATTCCCACAGCCTCATCTCCCCTTTTCAACGGCAGTCTAAGGACTGCTGACACCACCACATTTAATGCAGGTTCCATAGACCTGCAGAAGACATGAGGATGCCGAGGGACATGCTGGAGGTAAGAGAAGAACCGAGCACCAACTGCCAGGGGAACAGGGTTCTGGTAGGTAAATCTTCTTTACTCCAGCCCCTAGACAAAAACAAGGCCTTAACCCTTGTAGTGCAGGGGTAGCCTCACTCCATGGTTACTTTTGTTGTTTGCCCAAAGATGGGCTTGAAGTTCCCTTCTAGCATGGTATGCCTGGCTGTGCTAGGTTAGGTTACTGGAGAGTCAGGTTTAAGTGAGGTCACTGGAGACTGAATTATTAGGTAAGCCATTGGAGAGTCCGGTTTGAGTGACTCAGATCATTGGAGCGTCAGGGATGAGTGACTCAAGTCATTGGAGAGTTGGGTTTGAGTGACCCATATCATTGGAGAGTCAGGTTTGAGTGCCTCAGATCTTTGGAGAGTCAGGGATGAGTGACTCAAGTAATTGGGGAGTCGGATTTGAGTGTAACCAGTAACATTTTCCTCTTTACAGGTATCACTGGAGCTAAGGTCGCTTAACAGTGACATGCAAAGCCAGAGGCAGATTAAATTGTATCTTAACCCAAAAACAAAAAGGTTATATTTTGCAGCTTACCAATCCTTAAATGCATTGGCTGCTTTACTTTTCACTTTTCAGTCCAAGAACATTTTCAGCAAGTATAGAAAATACCAGATGATCTTGGCAGGAATTGGGTGTCTTTGTCACTTCCTGTACGCATAAGAGAGCACCAAGAAGCCTTCTAATCCCAGCACCCCACCATGTAATGTAGATGAATAGAAGTGCAGTCTATGTAACAGCCATAGATTTATTGGAGGGGACAGTATAGACATGAAGGCATCGGAAGTGTGTTATTTGCAGGATTACCAGGTGGAAAAGAGCCTTCTAAAGAAAACGATTGCAGCCACTACATAGATGTAATGGCGTCACAGGTCCTTAGATAGCTGGAGACCGGGGGGGGAAGAGGCTGCTGGGAGCAGTCTAGCAGCCAGTCGGGACCGAAGGTCATGGGAGTATATCTTCTTTATTTTAGCCCCTAGACCAAAATGAGTACTTAACCCTTACCATGCAGGGGTAGCCCCACCGCAAGGGTTAATTTTTACCATTTCTGGAGTTCCTCTTTAAGGCAGAATGGAGCCTTGGGCCAGGTAGCATCATTGCCCTTCCTATCACTTCAATTGACATTGAAAAGGATTCCAGTAGGCACAGTGATCCTGCACTATTTGCACAGGGGACACAGAGCCTAAATAATCCACAAGTCAACCTAGACAGGAGCCTAGGGCCTGGTGACTCTTATAAGAGCCCAACTACAACCTTAGTGTTCCTGCAGTAAACTAGGGAGATAGAGAATTGGTCAATGCTGTGCACCTGTCAGTCACTTCATATTATGTCCTCAATAGCATTTGTTGGGGGGCATGTCAGTACAGACAATGGGAATGGAGCGCTTCCTTCACAGTGTCAGTTGAAGGGATGGGGGTACCAAAGCTGCTTCTTTGCCTGCGCCCCTCTTCTGCCTCCATCTGCATCTCTGGTGACAAAAAATAGAATTCTGATGGTTTCAAAGCACTAGTACTGAAAACAAATATAAAACTGATATTTGTTTTATATCTAAAGGACTTAGAATGCTACTAACAGGTCTATTCACAAAACGGTGAAGAGTTTGGAGAAGACAGGAGAAGTGAACAATCTGGGACAACATAGCTGATTTGGAAACATTCTCCAATTCAGCTCACTTTCCAGTTCAGTAGTTCCAGCTGTTGTCCTAGATAGTTTACTTCTCCTTTTTGTGAATAGCCTGGGAACTTTCTCTATGGCCATGTTAGATTGCAGTTTTTCTGGAAGCACTCCTTTCCCAGCGGAATTAAGCATTATTCTGTTTTATTTATGTTCTGCTTTTCACCATCTTTCCAAGTGAATCACTGTGTGTGTAAATAATTTATGTGCATGGCAGCTGTGCATATTGATACAAAATCTTTAATCTTGATGTCGGTTTTTGAAGTATACATTTTCCTACGTCAGAATAAACCATGTATCACGTATTTAAACACGCTTATCTGGCTGCCAGAAGCTCAGGATTATGTAATGAAACCAAATTCCCTTTCCTTAGGCAATGTTAAATTAGCGATGGATGCAGGAAGCAAGTAAACCTCTCATCCAATTTAAACTTTTCAGTATAGCCGACATCTACCTCTGTTAGCTTTGAGCCACTTTGTGCTTCTCTGATACTAGTTTCACTGTGTTATTAGGGGCTTGAGATGTGGCCTAAATCTTGCCAGCTGCCATTATATTGTCTAGTGAGAGTGTTCTGCAGTCATAAAAATCATTGGACAGGGGGTGGCAGTTAACAGGCTTTAGCCCAGGGGTAGCCAAACTCCGGCCGTCCAGCTGTGGTGGAACTACAAATCCCATGAGGCATTGCAAGATTCTCACAGTTAGACATGACTCCCGGAGAGAGATGCATCATGGGATTTGTAGTTTCACCACAGCTAGAGGGCAGGAGTTTGGCTACACCGGCTTTAGTCCTTAAAGAGGAACTTTACTGATTTCTTCATAATAACAACCAAGGCATCTTTAGACATTTTTAACAATGTCAATCTACAAACAGGTACTTCTAAATAATTGCCAGATTTTTATTCTTTACATATCTTTTTTTTCTCCCCATTCTTCTGACAGTGGCCATTTTAACTAAGGGCAGGTTGCTAGATCTCTCCTCACTTCCTATTTTTCGAACATGCTGGTTCGACAGAAGACGTGCGACCGTACAGTAGAAACGGTCGCACGTCTCCGTTCACACTGCTCGATTATCGTACGAAAAACCGATCGCATACGATTATCGTACGATAATCGTGCAGTGTATGGGCACCTTTTCTCTGAGATCTCATGAGAATAGATTGCCCAGCAATGGTCTGCTGATGTATCCTTCCCAGGAGGCAATGCTTAGGCATGATTACATCATTTGTGCCAAAGTGGACCAGGAAGAGGAAAAAAAGAAATTGTAAGTAAAATAAAAATATGTTTGTTTAGCTAATGAATGTTAGAGGATTTCATATCAGCATGCAGAGCGGTATGCTGATGTGATTCTTAGTCAAGGAGGGTAAAGGTCCGCTTTAAGTCAGGTCTCTGCTAACAAAGTGAAACTAGTTTCAAAGAGGAGCAACTGAGGAAGGTATACCAGCAGTCGGAGATAGTGGGCATCTTGTGGGTTGTGCTCTCAGATGAGAGTTTTACATACACAGCTGCTGACAGGATCACTTTAAGAATGCCAGCCTTTTAGATCATATAAAATGCCTCAGAATACAAATACCTTGCGGTAGACTCCGGTGTTCAGTAAATATTAATGGATTTTGATTGAATTTTATAGGAAATACTTCTGGATGACAAGCATCATGTTGCTGTTGCCTTGGGGGACACAAATACAAACAGAGAACAGACTTCAAAGGTAAACTAACATCTTTAAGTGTATGCTGCAAGGGAATGCTTGTTGTCTTCTACCAGGGTGTGCCCAGTGTGTTAATACCCTGGCAGCTTTATTTAAACAAGAACTTGGGGCACAAATTTTATTAACCCTTGCAGTTTTCGTCTAGGTTTAAAAATAAAAAAGTCATACTCACCAGATCCTCTGAGTCAGCTGGCTCTTAAACCAGTACCTTCCGCCTCGCTCCCCCTCTGCCACAGCAGTCTAAGGTCCCTGAGTCATCACGTTCTATATAAAGTGTATAGGACATAAGAACGCTGAGGGACATACAATCGTTGCAGTGTAGGAGCAGACAGGCAGGAGGGAGTGCTGTCAAAGCCGGCCGGCTCGGAGCATTGCGTGAGTATAATTTTTTTTTTAAACCTAGACAAAAACAAGCAGTTGCCTCCTGCATTGTGGGGGTAGTCCAACTGGAATACATGCATGTGTTTGTTAGAGTCTTGCAATGCCTTATGGGATTTGTAGTTCCTCAACAGCTGGAGGACCAAAGTTTAGCTACCCCTGCTGTGTAGAATAGCCATTGTAACCTGTGCTAGGCATTTGTGAGCAAACCTTTAGAAGCATGCACATCCAGAGGGATGCAGTGAGTTAATGGAACTCATTACTTACAGAGCACCGGAGCTCCTGGAAATGGTGGCATCATATGGAGGCTAATGTAAACATAAAAGAAATGTAAACTGGCTAGGCCCTTAATGACAGCTCTCAGAGGACAGGAAAAGGAGAGGAAAGGTTATGTTTGCAAACTTTATTTGCCTGAATATATTACGAGAATTGAAGCTGAACTCCAGGCTGAGGTAAAACACACTCTATGCCGTTAAATATGTATTAATCATGAGTGCATATGAGTTTAAATTCTGATACGAGAATGGAGTGAGCAAAGAGGTGACCTTGTCAGTCTGCTGCTAATCTTTCACCGTCCAGTCAGGAGAATGGAGGGTGGAGAGAGGACCCCACTGTATTCTTTAAAGCATATGACAAGGCATACATTCAAAACAAAAACATAATTGTTTATGCAATAATGCCATTTTCCTTTGTTTTATTCTTTTAACCACTTCAGTACCACCATGTTTAACGCCATTCACCAGGCCACTTTTCAGTTCTGTGATAGTCTGAGTGAGAATTACTGGACAATTACACAACACTGTGTCCAAATTAATTTTATATATATTTATTTAGATAGCTAGAGCTTTCTTTTCATGATATTTAATAACTTTCTTAACTCTATAATGTTAAAACTTTATTTTCTACAATAGGACATAGCCAAAAATTAAATGTCAGAACAGTAAGTAAACCTCTGAAATGACCCTTTTTTGGAAAATAGAAAATTTATGCCACAATTTTTCAGAAATTAAGAAATATGTCAGTATTGAGAGGGGTTAAAACATGGAGCTTGGTAATGGTGCACTAGATACATTAAATATACAGATCACACACAGAGGGAAAAGGAGGTGAAGGAGTTATTGTGTAGGTGTGCAGGATAAGGGAGGTAAATGGGTTAATATACAGCTCTGAAAAGAGATAAGGTACCCACACACCTTGTGATAATCGTACGATATTCGCGGGAAATCCCGCGATCTACGATTATCGTAAGGTGTGTGGAAGCCGTGCAACCTCTACTACTGTAAGGTCGCACGACTTTTATCTTACGAACATGTTCGAAAACCCGCCGAGTGTCGTACGATGTTCGGCAGGTGTGTAGCATGTTCGTATGAAAAAAGCCGGACGGGCCAGTGTGTGCAAGCGCACACTGCCCGTTCGGCATTGCGATCATCGGAAGCCCGCCCCCCAGGGGGGCGCGGCTTGCGATCATCGCAAGTACGATCTGCCTGTCCAAGATAGGCAGATCGTACGTTTTTTTTAAGTACCTTACAACCATCGCAAGACAAAAGTCTTGCGATGGTTGTAAGGCGTGTGCCCAGCAATAGAATGGAGCTGGCATAGACAGGAGAGGGGTTGAAAGGGTCCGCTTTAACAAATGCAACGCTGCATTAATTTGTGTCTCTTGTATCTTCCTGGAGTTCTTATTTAAAGGGGCACATTGACTGAGGGCCCATTCACACCACATCCAGATCAGACCAGGTTGTTTCCGGACCCAAAATGCATCCTAATGTATCCCTATGCTATTTCTGGCCTCTGTACAATTCTCGGGACCAGCGCAGTCCGTTCCAGACCAGACCAGAAAAATACTGCATGTCTCATTTTGTCTGGTCTGAAATGCACTGGAACTACGGGCAGGTTCACACCATTTTCCGGACCAGATCTGGTCTGAAAAATGGTGTGAACCTGCGCTAAACCCCCTACCTTCTGAATTGAATCTAATCCTAATGAAAGTGGTTGGTATTTGTGTCCAGGGAAATGCTAAATTCCTCCTGAACATTGCAAATGCGTTTCTGAAAAGCTAGAACCAAACAAACCAAACTGTGAATTTGGTGCAAAACGTGCACTAATAGCCGTGAAAAGCTGTATATATTTATGTGCATGGCTCTTTAAAGTCAGCAGGGGGATGTTTTTACCTTGTTAAATTATAAACCAGTACATGGCTACAATGGAAACCATTAATATTCCAAGCAGACACTTATGGAGGCATGCAGCCTTGGTGGTCAAGAAAGGGAGGGCAGTGAGCATGCAGCCCCACTTTTTGTACCCCCCTTCCTATACCATACCAGGCCATATGCCCCCCCCCCCCCCCCCC